CAAGTATTGTTCCAGGCACCATAAAGACAAAAATGAAATATTCCCTACTCTTGAGGAGCTTATTCTATTACATGAGCTAGTTAACATTTTTTTTTTTGCCATTGTATAGTTTCACATATTGAGTTTCTTACAGTAAGGTATAGGAATAGCATAATGGTACACATCACTAGATTTGAACAATTAAAAGTAGAAGTGAGACGTGCTTTGGCATATCAAAACAACTCAAGCATTTTTTTCAATTATCTTAGGGAAAAAGAGGACCAGAGAAAATTACACACCCTTTTATAGACAGGAAGGGAAAACTAATAACAGAGGACTGTGAATAGTCAGAGGATTTTAATGTCTTTTTCACTTCTGTCTTTACAGAGATCAAATGTAAACAGTTGTCCAGAGCAAGTCTTAGTTGTGAGAGAAAAATGAAAAACCAAATTAGAACAAGGGAAAAAGTAGAGTATTCACAGAAACTAGCAAAGCCTGATGACGTTTCATGAAGCACTAAAGGAATTCTTTATGAAAAATACGTTGAAGAAATTGATGTTTTTCAGTCTGGTGGAAAGGTCAAGGGACACATTGATTGCCACCTTCAAGGACATGAAGGCTATTTTTAGAGTCCTCTAACTAGTTCTCTATGTCTGATGGGAACTAAAGGAATGAATCAAAAGGCATTTAATAAATTCTTAATATGGTCCAAGTATTGCACTAAGCATGGGATATATAAGTACAAAAGCAAAGACAGTGCCTGCCCTCAAGAAGCATACATTCCATTGGAGGAAACAACATATATAGGGGAGTGGGCTTCAAATGCAGTCTGAAGGTTGAGATGTATTTCATACTTCCCAACCTATATACAATTTCCCAAAATATCTGTTAGCATACTGAATCCCTCTGCTAAAACCCTGCTCTACCAGGGCACCACGGCTCAACACTGTGGCTGAGTATTCAGAGCTTAAAGAGTAACCACGTTACACATTTAACAATCCTTCAAATATTTGAAGACGATGAATGGATCACCCCATGTCTTCTCTTTTACAGGCTAAACAATTTATCCTGTATATATCTTGTTTGTATATAGTTGTTTTCATGTTTCATGTTGTCTCTCCCATTAGACAGTGAGCCTCTAGGGGGTAAGCCCTGTCTTTTTGCCTTTCTAGGACTTAGTACGGGTCGTGGCACTTAATAAGGTGCTTGATTGACTAACCAAACGGCCTGATTTTTTTCAACTAATCTTTGCACGGTTTGATCTCAGTATCCTGGTCACTCTCCTCTGGCCACTTGCTAGCTTGTCAGAATTCTTCCTCTGGTATCGATTGTGACACATGGGAGACACTGGCACAGGAATGCCCAGCGTGGTGTGTCTGCATCATTTGTTCTCTGAGCAAAGCAGAATTGTAGTAGCTCAAAAGAAACATAAGATGTGTAAACCTAGAGCCACCTCCACTCCAAATGTTCATATGGACTATTTGTGCCCAACCTTCTGAGCTCATATTGGTCTGATCAGTCACAGTCAGACACACTGCATACTGACCTCAATGTAGCGATGTCATTTTGGTCCTCTTTGAGTACAAAGGACAACAATGGATTCTTCTTGTCTTATACTTTGCCCTTGGTACACAGTGTCTAATCAATGCTTGTTGATTGATTGATCTGTTGTTTGCTCCCCAAGGACAGAATGAAGACCCACAGGTCATAGGATCACACAGCTAGAGATAGAAAAGAACTCAGAGGAAATCTTGTCCAATGCCTCATTTACAGACAAGAAAACTGAGGCCCAAAGAGGTTACGTGATTTAGCCAAGGTGACTCAGGTAGTCAGCTTTAGAGGAAGGATTTGAACCTAGATCCTCTGACTGCAGAACTGATGTTCTTTTCATTTTACCATGTGGAGACAGATTTTCACTCCATATAAAGGAATTCTTCCTCACAACTAGATTTGGTTTTGTTTGGTGCCCAAGGGTAGTAGTTAAAAGTTGCAGTTGAGATATAAATATATTCATGTATATATATATATATATATATATAT